AGGCCTACTTCAGCCTCTCAGCTTTCTGACCTGCCTTCCTCACGGAGCTTAATCATTTCCAGCTTTTGATTGAAAATGAGAGACATGTGACTCCTCCTTCCACTTGAACACTCAGAAGCCATTGTAGATTTATTAACTGGCCTGATTTCAGTACTGTTTTGTTTCTGGGAACAGAGAGGCCCCAGGAGAGGGGACAGAGATGGGGGTACTGGCCGATTAGTGGAGCAGTCAGAACACACATGACATTCATGGATTAAATTTGTTCTCCTACTGGCACATTCCTGGTGTCCCAAAACAATGACAATAATGACATCAAAGATCCCTAATCTCAGATCATCCTAACAAAAGTAACAGTAATGAAAATGTTTGAAATGTTGCAAAAATTACCAAAATGTGACACAGATACACAAAGTAAGCAAATGCTATTGGAAACATGGTGCCCACAGACATACTTGCTCAACTCAGGGCTGCCACAAACACTTAATCTGAAGAAAGGCAGTACCTGCAAAGTGCAATAAAACAAGGTCTGTCTCTACATCTTCCCAATTTCTTTTTTACCTATTTTGTTTCTGATATAATGTGTAATAGTGTTAAAAGTATTTCAGAATCAAGCATCTGAATATTAATTTTCCTTTAATAAATCAAATAATAATTTCTAGCACTCATAGAGAGTAAATATTCCCTTTACAGTTTTATTATTTACATATGTTATTTTAAGATTATTTTTAGCCAAATAACCAGTTTTTAGGAAAAAAATGTTTAATTCTAGAAATGAATTAGGATACTTGATTCCATATGTAGTAGCAATAAAATTTTTCTTGTTTGTAATTTTCCATTTCTGAATATAAATTTCAATGTAATTTAGAATTATAATTTCTATAGTTCCCAAACTCATAGGTTATCCTACGGCAAAAAAGACAATTAAATTCCTTCCTTCAAAAGAATTGAATGGAAAAAATGTTTAAAGTCTCAAAATTATAGGGTTTCAGTGAAATAGATTTTATAAAATTTTCTAAGAATAACAAATTTCATCTATTTTTGGGGGAAGGATGATAAACAATAAATAAGTTATTAGCCTACCTAAGTCTCATGTAAAGACTGTTTTAAAAAAGGAAAATTTTGACTCTTTCTTTGAAATAGTATTTTTTTTCCAAAAGGCCCCTTCTAGGTTTCCTGCCTAGATGGTGGGTTTGGTCTGACAGGAAAGAAAAAGGATAGGCCTGGACCTTGAGAGCACTGGGTCTAGGGTAATGGGACTTTGGGAGAAGCACAATGTTTTATCACGGATGACAGCCCCCTTCTCTGCACAGTCACATGTCTCCTGAAGCATGACACCAGTTTCACAGAGGAAAAGAGAAGAGGAGATTCAACTCAGGGCTTTTGTCGGCATTACTGGGACCATGTGGGGAGAGGACATGCTTGGTGGCAAGGATGGTCCAGACCAGGGGGTCAGCATGGTGGGGCTAAGGCACCCCCATCACCAAGCACTGGGCTGGGCTGGGAGGAGGGGTTTGCCAGCAGGGCAGGAACAGCTAGGCCATCTCCAAATCTTTGACCATATCAGTGAGTCTGGGTATGCAAATGGGGTAAATTAGTGAAGCATTACAGAGCCCGTCTCCTAGAAAAGGTCAAATAAGCATTAGGTCTTAATATGTTTAATGCTCTGGGGTTCAAATCAGTAGGACATGTCTACATTATCCAGGGCATCAGGGCAATGAGAAAAATTTGCTTTGTTTATATCCTTTCAGAAAAGATAAGCTTTAACAGGGAAGAAAGACTATAAAAATTAGTGCTTCCTTGGAGATATTTTGGTGCAGTTGGAACTTCTCTATCTACATTTCTTTTGTACAATAACATGAAGAATGTTCAGGCACAGCCATCTAAAGAGCATGCTCCCATTAATTTACTGAACCGAAACTCATCCTGGAAAAAAAATGTCACCTCTGCAGTTCATAAACGGGCTCCCGATGTGGAGGATTTGCTTGAACACTCAGGTTGTGCGCAGTGGGGCAGAGGAGTGTGTGCACACCTACCTCGAGGTCGGTGAAGAGCCCGTGGCTATTCTGGAGTATGGCATACATGCAGTGGGCCACAGTGACCGCATGCTTCCAGTTATGGTAAGGAACCCGCCGGTAGTTTTTCTTCACAGACATAATGAAGCGACACAGCTTTTCCAGCTCAAAGCTTTGTGGAAGAGAAAATGTTATGAGTCATACATTCCAGGAGAGGATCCTGGTTCAGACACACACGCCTGAGCCAGCACGATTTCCACAGTGACTGAGGCCAGGAGTGCGGGAGCCACTCACCCCGCCCCGGGTCTCTGGCCGGCTGAGGGAGGAAGCCCCTTTGGCCCGTCTGCTCTGATTTAGTGACTGGCCCAGGAGGGAGGAGGCAGAGGACAGTAAGCCTGCAGGGGACCATCACTAGCTACACAGCCTGCCTGACCTCACGGGCATTTCCTACATCTCAGTGCTCAACATGTGACAGCCTATTTTCATCCTGCCCCAGGGTATTCTGACCTAGTAATTTTCAAAAATCATGTTCACATCCATGAAATGCAAATGTACATACCACGAGGATATTCTAGATGGGTGATTATCCTTTCAGAAGGAATCCTGATTATTATGGTCTGCTCAAATTATTAAGTGGCAAATGACCATATCCAAAACCTGACACAGTATATGGAAGAATATGAAATACGTTTTTGTACTATATTTTTATTTTTATATTATCATGTATTTATACTACTTTTATACCCTACCAACTCTCTCAATGAACTGAAGATTAAAACAAAAGCTCATCAATATAAAACAGGGCTCTTTGAAATGCCAGAGCTTAGAGTTCATAATACTTCTAAAAATATATACCTTTTTCTACACTGGATATTTTTAAATGTCTTTGAAGTATAAAGATGTGTCATTTTAAGAGTTCCAACTGGTCAAACTGCCAACTGATATCTAACAAATAAGTGGTGTTAGCTGTCCTGTGGGCATCCTTTTAAAACAGCAATTTATGAAACTGATAGAAGTAGAAGAAGATATGAATCCAATAGGAAAGGAGTGACAATTCAGTTCTAGAAAAACTAAGAGCCTCTAGAAGCCACCTGATAACTAAATGAGCAAAAAGGAGAGGAGAAAAAATCAGTTTTTGCATTTTAAGCATGTGTGTTTAAGTTGCAGAAGATCAGACATAAAGTCACGACTGGCGCCAGGACAGGACCAAGTGAGAGGGGAGTGTCTGCCAACCACACGGCCACTGGCACACTGTTAATAAAGCACCAACTCTGAGGAGGGGACTTGTTTCTCTCACAGCTGTTCTCACTCATCTGTAATGTAAGTGGAAAGTCGATGCTAGATTAATGTATATATTCCAAAACATAGTACGTAATTATGCTGAAAACATGGTGCCCACAGACATACTTGCTCAACTCAGGGCTGCCACAAACACTTAATCTGAAGAAAGGCAGTAACTGCAAAGTGCAATAAAACAAGGTCTGTCTCTACATCTTCCCAATTTCTTTTTTACCTATTTTGTTTCTGATATAATGTGTAATAGTGTTAAAAGTATTTCAGAATCAAGCATCTGAATATTAATTTTCCTTTAATAAATCAAATAATAATTTCTAGCACTCATAGAGAGTAAATATTCCCTTTACAGTTTTATTATTTACATATGTTATTTTAAGATTATTTTTAGCCAAATAACCAGTTTTTAGGAAAAAAATGTTTAATTCTAGAAATGAATTAGGATACTTGATTCCATATGTAGTAGCAATAAAATTTTTCTCGTTTGTAATTTTCCATTTCTGAATATAAATTTCAATGTAATTTAGAATTATAATTTCTACAGTTCCCAAACTCATAGGTTATCCTACGGCAAAAAAGACAATTAAATTCCTTCCTTCAAAAGAATTGAATGGAAAAAATGTTTAAAGTCTCAAAATTATAGGGTTTCAGTGAAATAGATTTTATAAAATTTTCTAAGAATAACAAATTTCATCTATTTTTGGGGGAAGGATGATAAACAATAAATAAGTTATTAGCCTACCTAAGTCTCATGTAAAGACTGTTTTAAAAAAGGAAAATTTTGACTCTTTCTTTGAAATAGTATTTTTTTTCCAAAAGGCCCCTTCTAGGTTTCCTGCCTAGATGGTGGGTTTGGTCTGACAGGAAAGAAAAAGGATAGGCCTGGACCTTGAGAGCACTGGGTCTAGGGTAATTGGACTTTGGGAGAAGCACAATGTTTTATCACGGATGACAGCCCCCTTCTCTGCACAGTCACATGTCTCCTGAAGCATGACACCAGTTTCACAGAGGAAAAGAGAAGAGGAGATTCAACTCAGGGCTTTTGTCGGCATTACTGGGACCATGTGGGGAGAGGACATGCTTGGTGGCAAGGATGGTCCAGACCAGGGGGTCAGCATGGTGGGGCTAAGGCACCCCCATCACCAAGCACTGGGCTGGGCTGGGAGGAGGGGTTTGCCAGCAGGGCAGGAACAGCTAGGCCATCTCCAAATCTTTGACCATATCAGTGAGTCTGGGTATGCAAATGGGGTAAATTAGTGAAGCATTACAGAGCCCGTCTCCTAGAAAAGGTCAAATAAGCATTAGGTCTTAATATGTTTAATGCTCTGGGGTTCAAATCAGTAGGACATGTCTACATTATCCAGGGCATCAGGGCAATGAGAAAAATTTGCTTTGTTTATATCCTTTCAGAAAAGATAAGCTTTAACAGGGAAGAAAGACTATAAAAATTAGTGCTTCCTTGGAGATATTTTGGTGCAGTTGGAACTTCTCTATCTACATTTCTTTTGTACAATAACATGAAGAATGTTCAGGCACAGCCATCTAAAGAGCATGCTCCCATTAATTTACTGAACCGAAACTCATCCTGGAAAAAAAATGTCACCTCTGCAGTTCATAAACGGGCTCCCGATGTGGAGGATTTGCTTGAACACTCAGGTTGTGCGCAGTGGGGCAGAGGAGTGTGTGCACACCTACCTCGAGGTCGGTGAAGAGCCCGTGGCTATTCTGGAGTATGGCATACATGCAGTGGGCCACAGTGACCGCATGCTTCCAGTTATGGTAAGGAACCCGCCGGTAGTTTTTCTTCACAGACATAATGAAGCGACACAGCTTTTCCAGCTCAAAGCTTTGTGGAAGAGAAAATGTTATGAGTCATACATTCCAGGAGAGGATCCTGGTTCAGACACACACGCCTGAGCCAGCACGATTTCCACAGTGACTGAGGCCAGGAGTGCGGGAGCCACTCACCCCGCCCCGGGTCTCTGGCCGGCTGAGGGAGGAAGCCCCTTTGGCCCGTCTGCTCTGATTTAGTGACTGGCCCAGGAGGGAGGAGGCAGAGGACAGTAAGCCTGCAGGGGACCATCACTAGCTACACAGCCTGCCTGACCTCACGGGCATTTCCTACATCTCAGTGCTCAACATGTGACAGCCTATTTTCATCCTGCCCCAGGGTATTCTGACCTAGTAATTTTCAAAAATCATGTTCACATCCATGAAATGCAAATGTACATACCACGAGGATATTCTAGATGGGTGATTATCCTTTCAGAAGGAATCCTGATTATTATGGTCTGCTCAAATTATTAAGTGGCAAATGACCATATCCAAAACCTGACACAGTATATGGAAGAATATGAAATACGTTTTTGTACTATATTTTTATTTTTATATTATCATGTATTTATACTACTTTTATACCCTACCAACTCTCTCAATGAACTGAAGATTAAAACAAAAGCTCATCAATATAAAACAGGGCTCTTTGAAATGCCAGAGCTTAGAGTTCATAATACTTCTAAAAATATATACCTTTTTCTACACTGGATATTTTTAAATGTCTTTGAAGTATAAAGATGTGTCATTTTAAGAGTTCCAACTGGTCAAACTGCCAACTGATATCTAACAAATAAGTGGTGTTAGCTGTCCTGTGGGCATCCTTTTAAAACAGCAATTTATGAAACTGATAGAAGTAGAAGAAGATATGAATCCAATAGGAAAGGAGTGACAATTCAGTTCTAGAAAAACTAAGAGCCTCTAGAAGCCATCTGATAACTAAATGAGCAAAAAGGAGAGGAGAAAAAATCAGTTTTTGCATTTTAAGCATGTGTGTTTAAGTTGCAAAAGATCAGACATAAAGTCACGACTGGCGCCAGGACGGGACCAAGTGAGAGGGGAGTGTCTGCCAACCACACGGCCACTGGCACACTGTTAATAAAGCACCAACTCTGAGGAGGGGACTTGTTTCTCTCACAGCTGTTCTCACTCATCTGTAATGTAAGTGGAAAGTCGATGCTAGATTAATGTATATATTCCAAAACATAGTACGTAATTATGCTGGGTAGTAACCCTTACCTCTTCCAGTTATACAGCCTAAGGTAATTTTAACTTACTTTTATATGGCCACCTGGTTAGATCCGTGGTTGCTGGCCAAGGCTGTAAGACCAGAGAGCTCGGAAGCCTTTAAGGGCAATCTGAAGAGTGTGGCTTTGTTCAAAAATCTTAGCTCTTTTTAAATATTAAGAAAAAATATTTTATATATGGCACATTTTAAGATAATTATAAACCAAGGAAGTGTCCAGGCATTAGGTGGTGGGGAGAGGTCAGATCAACTCAGTGGTTTAAATAGAAGTTTCTAGGTCATTCATACCAGGATGTGCCACAGGACCGGTGGACCATATAGACAAAAATTCCAGGCCACATGTTTTCAAAAGGACCAATGTCAAAGTGGAATCTGAAATGAGAAACAGGGAGGTTGATTAGTAAATGTAGTGCGAAAAGACATACAGCATGTAAAGGAAGTAATTTCCCTTCTGGTCTATCAAGAAACTAAAAAGCACTGGGCACTCTGCCATCTCCTTCCCTGACTGCTCAGTCACACCTCTGCTGTAGTAAAGGTTTCCAGGAGGAAAGGCCACATATTCCATGAAGAACTTCATCTCATTATTAGCTATTTTTCATTTGGTAATTTAGTTGCTAACATTTTAACCCAAATAAACAGAACAGTAAAGAATTAAAATAAACCATTTTCCTCTAGCTCCAACACTTTTGACACAAACGTGTAGTTTTCCACACCAAGTAATTCTCCAGTTCTCCGGGGACACCAATGGGGTGCCATACAACTCAGTTCACAGCCCACAGGTGAAGGGCTCAGTCCCACAGACCGCTCCTGCTTGTGAGGCCCACTGCAGGTATAGGCCGCGGGTCAGCAGCCCTGTGCCAGAGGCTCCCTCGGCCCCACCTCAGGTCTGATGATGTGCGAGTTCGGCTCACAGAACTCCGGGCTGCACCTTACTTACTGTCACGGGTTTATTACAAAGGATAGAGCTCAGGAACAGCCAGCTGCAGGGGCCCCAGAGGGCAGATGCGTGGGGTGGATGCAGAGCACCCATGCCCCTTTGGAGGCACCACCTCCCTAGGACCTGGCGTGTTGTGTTCCCCAACCTGGAAGTTCTCTGAACCCCTTGTTTACGGTTTGGGGAGGTTCTATTACATATGTGAGATTGATTAAATCACTGGTCATTGGCGATTAACTGAATCCCCTCTCCGCTCCCTGGACGCAGGAGTCCAGAGTGGGACTGACTATTCCACCCTCCCATCTCAGGGCTTGTTCCTCAGGTACCCAGACCAGCCCTCCAGGAGTCACTCATTAGCATCAACACTACTAAGTGTGCTCAAAAGAGGTTTACTATGACTAACAAAAGTCACCTCTCTGACCCAAATAATCTGACCTATCAGGAAATAATCAGGGTTCTATGAGCTCTGTGCCAGGAGCTAGATACAAAGACCAAATATATTTATTTCTTATAAAATCACAGTATATAATATGTATAGTATTAAAAGATAAACTGAGGCATTTTAAAAGTCTTATGAGTCTATCTGAATAAAAATCCATTGGTTTAGGGTAGCACCAAACCAGAGTGGTTGGCCGCGCCAGTGACAGGAGCCAGGGGACCTCATCCAAGGAGAGGGGCAGGGACAGAGGCGGAAGGCTGTTGCCCGGTGGCAGCTTCACCCAGTAGGCTGTTCCCGAGTGGGTCTCCTCAGGTTTCCACCTCATAACCTTGAGGCACTTACAGACTTAGATTTTGGCTTCCTTACACAGGGTACCGGGGCGTTACAAAAGGAACAATACCGTATTTCTAATTACAAGGCAAATGATCAGCCCTGGGTCACTTTGGATGATTTATTTATGTAGTTAAGTAGCGTCAGCTTGCACTTATAATGGGAATACAAATAATCATAGGTCCTACCACCAGAGATTTATAGTATCAGCAAGAATTAGAAAACACAGTGTAAAAGTTGAATGAATTAGTACTAAATTCACAAATTCATAAATCTGTATAGAAATGAAAACTTTAGTTATCTAACATTAAATGCCATTTTGAACATTAAATACTATATGGTGTAAAGTGTTCAAAAGGCTAACAAGAAAAACTAATGTTTAGGTTTCTTATCAAAATCCTGTTCAGAATTTCTTTGAAGAGAAAGACATCTGTCCTTTATTTCCAAATCCTAGCATAAGATTTGGAATCACCTTAGAAAAGGAAATAGCAACACATGAAACTACGTTCTTAATTCTAATTGTACACCCCTTTCACTTTAAGTTCAATCAAATACAAAATCTGTTTCTCAAGAAACTGACAAGACTCACAATTCGATTTCTTTGCAGAGACGCACAGGGAGACTGAAGCTCAGGAGGCCCTGCCACTCCTCGGCGGTGCAGATGCTGTGGTAAGACAGCTTTTCCATGGTCACCCGGTAAATGCACTCGGAATGACGGATTCTGTGATACATCTGGAAAGCAAACCCAATGAATAAAAAATAAAGTAGAAGACGCTTTAAAGTAATTATGCCATTAAAGGTGAGTGAGAATTTGGTAGGGAAGAATCAGAACGATAACTGAGACCGCTGTTACGATCCACTAACTGCTATCACTACCACGAGCTATTACTATACATTCCCACATACACTGAAGATACTACACATGACTTTCTGATACAAAACAAGTATTTTTTAATCGCATTTGTTTTAAAGATATTAAATTCTAACAAATGTCTGTTTACTAGGCATTATCCTTGGCTCATGAGACTACTTGGTATTTATCTACTGGTACCTTGAACCTGGCCTCTTGGCCTCCAGAGCTGCAAGAAACAAATGTCAGGTGTCTGTAAACCACCCAGTCTAGGGCGTTTTGTTCTAGCAGCCCAAATGGACTAAGACAGAAACTGAGTCAAGTTATGGTATTTTTTCTGCCTTTTAAAAATATTTAGCTTAGTTCTGGGTGATCTCAAAATCCTCTAGTCCAGGGAATCTCAAAAATGTTTGACTGTGAAGTCCTTTATAAGTGGAAGAATTTCGGAGATGTGTGCCCAATAAATGTATACTGCTTTGGCAATTGTATACACATGCACTGTGCTGATACATTGCTTATATTATAAAACAAACTAAAATAGAAATTTGAAAAGATAAAAAGTATGTACTTAAAAGATATTTTACTTACTGAACAAGATTTTATTTTGCTTTTACTACACAATTGTACATTTTAATTATCAATTGTCAAGTTTTTTCTTTACTACTTTGTGAGCTGGTAAAGGTAAGGCCTATTTTAATGCTTAGATTTTCTGTTATACTGCTTGAGAAAGATATGCCCAAAGTATATGACCCCAAACGAAGTAAAGCTAGCAAGGGACATTCTTAAAAGTATATGATTTTGTTCCCTAACCATTAATAGTTTCGGTGGGAATTCAGATAAATTTCCATTTTCCCTGATGTCAATCAGTTAATCCTACAAGCTAATTAGTTACATCTTTATATATTATCAAACAAGTTCAAAACCAATAAAGCTCAATGAAACTCTTTGTTAGGGAAATTTTTAACAAGTTAAAAACTCTTTCTTAAAATAAAATCATAAAAAGCATTCAATTTTAAAGGAAGAAAAGAGGTAAAGGGAAGAACAGATGGAACAAACAGAAAACAAATAACAAGACAGTGTATTTACACCTAAACATAAAACGTCCATGGTCCAAATATCCCAATTAAAAGTCAAAAAGACTGTCAGATTGATAAAAAGGCAGACCCAACTTAGGCTGTTTACAAGAATCTTAATTAAAGTATAAAGACCCTAAGAGGGTAAAAGTGAAAGGATAAAAAAGATACAGTATTCAACACCAGTCAAAACAAAGTTGGAATGGCTATGTTAATATCCGATAAAGTAGATATCACAGCAAAGACTATTACAGAGATAAAGGTCGACTCAAATGAAAAAGGGGTCAGTTCATCACGTGGACATAATGCTCCCAATATATGTGGTCATCTGTTTTTCAACAAGGGTGCAGAAGCCAGACAGTGGAGAAAGGCTGGCCTGCACAGCACTGGTGCTGGGACAACTGGACAGCCTTGTACAAAGTAAGGAAATAAGCACTTACCTTGCACAAACACAAACACGTACTCAAAATGGATCATAGATCCAAATACAAAATCTAAAACTATAAAACTTCTAGAAGAAAATACAGGAGAAAATCTTTGTGACCTTAGGTTAGGCAAATATTTCTTTGAAACAATGTTGATAGCATTATCACAAAAGGAAAACTTGATAAACTGGACTTCTTCAAAATAAAGAACTGCTCTCCGAAAGAAACCATTAAGAGAATAACAAGACAGGACAAACACTGGGAGCAAATAATTGCAAATAACCTACCTGACAAATGACTTTTATCTACAATATATAAAGAACTATCAAAACTCAATAATAAGAAAATGAACATTCACGAACAAAAAATAGGCAAATGATTGAGAAGATGCTTCACCAAAGAAGACATGGAGATGGTATCTGAGGAGTAACACATGCAATGAGGCTGCAAACATAAGGGATACAAAGCAGTTTGGTGGTTTCTTCAACATTTCCTACCATATGACCCAGCCATCTCATACCTAAGAATTTAGTCAAGGGAAATAAAAGCATTTGCCCATACACAGACTTGTGAACAGATGTTCATTGCAGCTTTATCTGTAATAGTCAAAACCTAGAAATAACTCAAATGTTTGTCAACATGTGACTAAATAAACAGCTCACAGTATATCCATATGAGGAAAGACTCAGTAATAAAAAGAAATGAGCTATTTATACATGCGATGCCATGGATGAATCTCAGAATAATTATGCTGAGTGAAAGAAGCCAGACAACAGTAATACAGATTTTATGACCCCCTTTATATAAAATAATTCTAGAAAATGCAAAGTAATTTATAGTGACAGAAAGCAGATAACTGGTTACCTGAAACCAGGGGAATGAAGAAGGGGCAAGTTACAGGCGACAGATTCCCAGGGGCACCCAGGAACTTGTTGGGGTGCTGGATACATCTGTTGCTGTGACAGTGGTGGGGGCTGCATTGCAGTGTGTGAATATACAGCCGTCAAATTGTACACTCTAAACATTCGTAGTTTATTGTATATTTATAAACCTCAGTAAAGCTACTTAAAAATTTTTTGTTCCTAGTGTTTTTAAAGTGTGTCATAATTAGGGTATGTGATACATAAAGTTCAGCAAAAAAAGTCACATGATGATGAAACTAATTGCAAACATCTATTTTCAAAGTGCTTTCTTTATAGCATGAGTTTATTTGGAAAAGCAATTATTTTCATATTCATTGTTAATATCACTTGCAGTTTGAAAGTTCAGTTGATGCTTATTTTTTTCAATATATCTTCTAAGTAACAAAATATTGACTGTCAATTCTCATCAGCAAAGATCAGCAAAATTGGAATAATTACCTTTTTGTGTAAGACATACATGGAAACAATGTCTGACCCCCTCAGCTACTCTGAGTACCTGCCACCACAACAAGTCCCTGGGCAGCACTTGGAAGCATGATTCCAAAGCCATCTTCATAACTGCGAATTGCTTGGCCAACTGGGAAATGACCCCCTGCAATTCGACTGAGGAGGAGTCTGGATCGGGTTTAAAATCATGGGCTCGCCACCACCATCACCTTTTCCCACCTTTCCCCACTGCAGAAGGCCCACGCTGTCACAGAGGCTGACCCTGGACAAGACATGGCCACCTGATGCACACACCATCCAAGCATCAGTAATCAAGAAAACGGACTTTCTTTAACATCATTTACCTAAAACATATCCGGAGAAGTTTCCACACTTTCCACCTACACCTCAGTGGATGTCACTTGTACTCCATCTGAGGGGCTCCATTAGATTCTGGGGAGGGGGTGAATAGTGTACAGGACTTCCTCAGTACTTGAAATGATTTGGGCAACCCTTACTTCAGTGTAATGCTGCGGGAAAGCAACCACGTGAGGCAGCTGAGTAGCACAGCTTCGCGGTCACTGAGCCTGTGAGCCACTCAGGACGCAGCAGCAGACCGCGTGTCTGGGCACCAGTTCACAGGGGTCTCACAAGCCCTCCAAGGCGGCTATGCCTCTCTCATCATTTCACAAGTGTAAGACCTCCAGTCAGAATGAATTTTACAAATAACATAAAGTTATAAACTTATATTATGAATTTGCTCATAAATTTATAATGTTTGTAAATATATACACTTTTTAACTTAGAGTTACATTTATTTATGTGTTATTTTGCAATCATTGTAGTTAAGTGACATATTTTAACTTTATGGTGAAAAATAATTAGTTTTGGAAAATTTTATAGATATTTTAGTTCCCATTTTCTAAATAACCTTGAATATGAATACTGGAAAATAACATAATATAGGGTTATTAGTAAATTATCTTATTCATCCTACTTCCAAATTATTAATGAAGGTAGAAGATGAGGCTGTCTTTTTAAGCTGATTTTGCAAAAATTCTTTGCTGATGGTAGCTGAGTAATTAGCCTTCGACTCGTCCAGCTGAAGAGACTACCAGGGGAGACAGCCACCATTTACCTTGATGCATGCCAACCTTGGGCTCTAGGAGAAAAAAAAAGGCCCAGAAGACAGAGCAAAGACACCCAGGAAACAGGAATATTACAGAGCAGATTTCTATCACAAGGTAAAAACACAACCACCTACAGTTTTACAAGAGGGTATCCCTGCTTATGGCATACGAGAACACTTAGTGAATCATGCTTTTCAATGCCCTTCCTTTGGCCCATTTCCACAATAACTGTCAGTTAGAGGACACCCTAGTGTGATCAGTACTCACAGTGGGTCTGGGATCTCTGAAAGGCAAAGCAACAAAGACCCAGGTTCTGGATCATTCTCCTGGCCTCAATCTCCTCCCGACATTTACTCTCTCTATACATTTAAGAGAGGTACTGAACTGTCTGAGACCAGATCCCCTCTGTAGACTGTGGACACTGCAGCACCTACCCTAGGGAACACTTGAGGGGTCAGTGGAACAATACACATTGGCACACACTCGGGCAGGTGGCCTGTAAGCTCTCAGGCTGCTGGCGGTGCCTATGACCCATCTCTGACGGACACCAGCATGATGCTGCGGCTCCAGTCGGCTCCGTTACTCTCTAGCTGGGGACCTGTTCCTGAGCAGCAATGGCATGCTGCACTGTCCTCCAAGAGCCAGCTATGCACCTTCCTTCCCAACTCAGCATTCAGGATGCCACGTAGGGGACTGAAACTGTCTATACTGGGAGTATGTACTTGGCAGAAATTGGGAAACACTACAAATAGACTCTTCCATTTTTCACAGCTGGACTTACCATGGGGTTTAGGTAATCCACAAGATTCTAGTTTAACTCCTGGGAAAGTCTGAGGCGTAATGATAGTTGTCCTATTATAAATTGTATACTCTTTTCCCCCTTCTACTTAATTCACATTTCATATCTAACAAAATATTTGTTAAAATACACATTTTAATATGATGCTTGACAATAGCATTAAATGATATAATTAATAAAACTAATTTGGTTCTCTCAACAAATCCTAGAAATAAAATCCAAGACATACTCCATACAGATATGGAAAGTACTGAAAAAGAAACCTTTTGCTATTTACTCAGTAGCTTAACACAGACCTGCAGGAGACCAGGGTGACACCAGAGCCTGCAGAGGCTGTGCCACGTGGTCCTGGGGTTGGAGGGAGGGGGGCTTGGCTGTGGCTGTGTGCGGGGCTGCTGGATTGAGAGTTCTGGGAGGAGGACAGAAGCCTGTCCTTGCTCAGAGCTGTGGGAAGGAAACAGTCTCTTTCCACTGGGAAAATATAGTTGTAGTTTCCAAAATTTTACTATTAACATATTGTAAGAATTTCAAACTAAGAAATTAAACAAAAAAAAATGGGCCCAGAACAACGAATACTTGGGGTACATAGAGAAAATTACAAAATCTGGGCATGGGAGTCCCCCACAGGGGTGAAATTCCAGATCAATTTGAGTGAGCAAATATCAAATAAATAAGTAAACAAATGGCTGAATGAATCAATCCCAGAAAGAAGAGACCGACACAAGGAAGTCAGCAAGACTAGTGTCCTTAAGAGCTGAGATGATGAAAAATAACAGAGAGATTAAAATTATACTGTTGCAAAAATCTACCATGTGGTATGTGACTTCTATGCCTGCACAGCTATTCTAGATTATGGAAACCACAGCACCAGAATGCAAAAGAATGCTTCTTTTTCCTTGGCAGGATCCTGAGAAGTGTTCAGAATACTGTCTTTCTTAAAGACAGGCCCAAGCAAGCGCTATACACAATACCAGAGAAACCTTTTCATGCTGAGACGGGCCAAAGGGACGGGAGAAGTCTCCGAATCCTTTGCTTGATGTGAACCCAATGGGGAAAAAAGTACAACGACTATTTTTGGTGTTAGGTTCCAAAGCAAAGAGAATAAAAAGACAAGAAACATGATTCTGCACCGGTGTGTCCCAACACACTGAAGGTGCCGAGTGAAGCAGCGCCCCGGGGCGGGAGCCAGCCCTCACGCTCAGACCCCGGCTCCATCCCTCACTGCGCAGCAAGGTCTCTGCGTCCCTTCTTTACTTCAGATGCGGTAATAGTAACCTTGCTCGGACCACCAGGAGACTAACTCAATAAGCTTTCTATGTAGTGTCCAAAACAGTGCCTGTCACAGAGTAAGTGTTACATCAAAGAAGAGTAGAGCTGATGATGGTCATCTTATATGCACCGTCTGGTGCCGAATTCGGGAATGAATAAAGATTGAACCATTTATTAAATTTATCCCTAGTCAATTGTTTTCATTTTGATGATGACTTTTTCCACATTCCTTTAGTGGTAAACGTCTTCTGATCCAAAATGCACAGCGCTCATCTGCTTTACAGGCCTCTCTTTTCTAGGCAAAATACATAACCGGTAGCACTATCCTGCTGGCTTTTTGCATATCAGGCTATTTCTTTAAAATCACAGTATGTCTGCATAATTTGAGTCTTTTTAAACGGTTTTCTGTTGACAGTACTATTAGTTATCTGTTAAAAATGAAATGGAGATATTGCCAATTAGAGACATGCCCTTTAATCCAATAAAAGGGAAACAATCTAACAGAACTACAGATGAACTAAGAATACAGATATGAGTATGTGTGGCAATGTACTCTGCCTCATGGACAGACAGACCCCTTAACCAAATCTCCACTGAGCTGAGTAACAATAAAATATGAGGCTAAATTACCACATTCAATATTACAAGCTTTTTCATAGAGGAAACATGCTTCTACAGAAGTATTTTGAATTTCCTACGACCAACATGCTTAACCTGACTCAATAATGGCAAACAATTACAAGGCACTAACTATTGCACAAAGCTTTTTCACATCTATGATCTTAATAAGTATGCATGTATGTTCCCTGGAAACAAATAGAACACTGAGGGAAAGGCACAGAGCCCGTGGATATGACTAACTGCTGGGAAAATGCTTATTATCAGGTGGTTGCCTGATGTTAATGATGCCTGGGAGAAATTTTTTTTTTCATTTTAAGCCACCCACCTCATTAAGAAATAATCGTTTCTGATAATTTATATTTTTAATTTTTGATGATTATTTATCAAGATTTCATAACACGGCTGATTTGATCACATGTATACTAATACTGATATATACTACGCCAAGCCAAAATTAATTTTTAACTTATTACACAGGTTTGTTTGCAATATTAGGGTAGTTAACAGACTACTTCAAGGCATAAAATATATTAGAAAAACCTTTTGCGATGTAAAAGAAATACATGTTCAGACACAGCAAAGAACAATTCTAAGTTTTCCAGTCCTAAGAGCTTATCATTGTGCTTGTAATGGACAACAGGTACCCAGTTGCTACAGTACTCAGACTCCACTGATTCATTTAAAAAATGATGGAAATTAATATTCAGAATATACTGATAATTACATCCTCTGCAACTTTTACACTAAACAAATGTAAGCTGTATTTTTATTTATGAAGGAGATACATAGGTACAGAAAATGTTTGAAGCAGAAAGTGTCTGACCCCTGCCTGAGTTTACCTCTGAGGAGCCAAGGGACATGAGGGCTCCCGCAGTGCACACGGCAGACCCAGAAAGGAGGCGACTCTGGCTAAACAGTACCACTGAATACAGAGTGGTTCTCCCTAGTCACCAGAATATTGTTTCTGGCCATTTTTGCTTCTAATCATCTCTCAGCTATTTCCATTGGTTATATGGTTGCTTTAGTGGAAATCAGTTCTATTTCCAAAATGGCAAGTTCTCTAGATTATCAAACTGCTAACTCCCATTATATTGGTTTAGCTATAAAAAGGTTAGTGATATTTTTCCTAACTTCAAAATGACAGCACTATCATTAAAGGATTACTAGAGTTTAGAATGCTAAATGTTTAACTCTTTTAAAATACAGAAATGTAAAAGAAAGATGATAAATTCAAGCACTTTAAAGTGAGACTTTATAAAATAAGTGGACCCTCAATTTGTTACCCAGGGACCCTGATGGCCTGCTGTGAGGATTACATGAATTAACACCTGTAACATGTCTGACCAACAGCTAAGAGGCTGCCTCACTTCTCCCAAGGAAACCTCACTTCTCCCAAGGAAACCTCACTTCTCCCAAGGAAACCTTCCCGGGTGGGGGTTAAAGTGTGAGTCATCACTCCCATTCCTATGACTATATCAAATACAGGGCACATGACGTACAATGAGGTTTTAGATAATGTTTTCCTTATTCATCTCAGCAGATATTGTGAAGTATAAGCCTTTGTGCTAGAACATTTTACCTTTACACTAACATTATTTTTCTTTTTAACGAATTCACACCTTATGAAATAAATGCAAAATACTAGATTTTTTTTTTCTTGCAAAGCATTTTAAGATATTTCCTAAAATATGTACAACCAGGAGTCACTTTTTCTGGTTCATAAAGGAAATCTAAATGGAAAAAAAAAGACTTAAACTACTTGATTTAAAAACTTAAAAATTAAAACTGAGCAGTCAGAAGGGTATTTCAGCAAATATTACTTACATTGGCACAGTGTAGGGCTAAAGCACAGAAGACAGCAAACATCTTGAAGTTGTTCTCGTCTGTTTTGGAGAAGGCACTGCCACTGATTTTGTTCACCATCTGCACCACCCCTATCACGCTGCCTCGGCTCACGATGGGCATGCACAGGATGTTCCGGGTGGTGTAGCCCGTGTACAGGTCTACTTCTCTGTGGCAAGATCAAGGAAGGAAACACCACCACAAAAGGAAAAACAAGCAGAAGAAAATAAGCTATACTTCCTACCATAAATCTCAAATCCGTTCACAATTTATGGGCATCAACTACAAGTAACTGTAGTGGAACTGCTAGCTTCTAAATTCAAGGACAATGTGACATTTGAAAGTATTTCATTAAACCCTTTTCCAAATTATTCTAACCAATTTGTTCTTTGTTTTCCAGAGCTTTCCAGAATAGTCTCTAGGAAGCTTTCAGCTGATCCTTTGGTTTTCAGGATCTAGCACTAGAAACACAGACAATCTGTAGATTCAGAGGAAAAATATAATGAATTTGGTAAGATGACATATTCCTTTGAACCTGGTCATATTTATGAAAGATGTAACTTGCTAAATGAACAAAGTTTAATGGGAGTTATCACCTTAAAAATTCAGAGCAGGGGTCAGCACACTACCACCTATGAGCCAAACCAGCCCCGTCCTGTTTTGTAAACAGCGTTAATGGAATACAACTGTGCCATTCCTTAATGGACTGCCACCACCCTACAAGGCACCCGAAGGCTTGTGACAGAGACATTATGGCTTAGAAAGACCCAATACTTACTACCTGATCCTTAATACAAAAGGTTTCCTGACTCCTGATTTAGAGGAAATGTTTTTTGAAAATAAGACTAAGTTCCATAGAAGAAATGATCTAACTAAGGGTAGGTGGGCAGATGGCACTCTTTTGTACCCAGCATCTTTTGCTCAGTGTTTGTGAGATTCACCCATGCTGCTGCATGTACCAGCAGGTCCACCCTTTTCACTGCTGAGTAGTACTCCACCTTTCATTTATCCATCCACCAGTTAATGGACATTATTATTTGTTAATGGCCAGTTTGGGGCAATTACAAATAATGCTGCTTTGAAGATCTGCATACAAATCTTTGTGTGGATGGTTGTTATTTTTCTTGGAGAGATACCTAGGGGTGGAGCTGAGTACAGTAAGTACATGCTTAACTTTACAAGAAACTGAAGCTGTTTCCCAAAGTGGCTGTACCATTACACATTCCCATCAGCAAAGCACAAGGACCAAGCTTCTCCAGATACTTGTCTACCATTGTTAATGTCAATCTTGTAAAATCTTAGCCACTTAAGTTGGTGTGTAGTGGGATGTCACTGACAATTAAATTTACATTTCCCTGTGTCAAACATCTTTTCACATTTAATTGCTATTCATGTATCTTATGAAGTGCCTGTTAGAATCTTGTGTCCTATTTATTAAATTGGGTTAATTTATTTATTACGTTGGGAGAGTTGTTTATATATTCTGGATACACTATTTTGTCAGATGCAGGTTTTGCAAATTTTTTCTCACATCTATTGCTTGTCTTTTCATGTTCTCAATAGCTGACCCATAAATTTTTATCAAAGGTTTTATATAAGGATTTATAAATATTTTCAATATTTAAAGACTAAAATAACAAAAATTAAAGAAAAACAGATTTTCAGCATATTCTTTATTTACTGACAATCCATGTTACTGTTACTCAGGTATAGCTGTGTTATATATACGAGTTGCATATACTTGACATTAATCAATCAAGTGTCTGGAAAAGCTTCCTGCTGCTTATGTTATTTAAATGTCTTAGAGTAAACCAAATGTTTGCATTAACTCAACACTGCTGTCAAAATACTTCAACTATTATGTACTAACAGTCATGACATCAGTCTTGAGACTTGTGATTTCTAGAGATTTATTAAAATCAGATTACATAATGTGGTTTCTAGTTCACCAAAGAAACCTAAAACAAAACAAAAAATATTTATAAACTGTCTTAATATCCAAATATGAAACAAGCGATGCAACTTCTTGAATTCTTACTTTGTGTCAGGTAAAAGCAACCAGACTCATTACAGACTATTATCTCTAATCTTAAAAAGAAATGCAAAACAGGCATTACTGTACCCATTTTGAACATGAGGAAGCTGAGCAGAGAGAGATTAAATAACTTACTCCAGGTCATTCCAGAGCTAATAAATGACAGAGCTAGGATTCAAAGTGGGTACTTTTCTCATTATGTGTCACTTTTAAGGTAAGGTTTGAGGGGGAACATGCTCAGGATAAAATGATGGCGCTGTAATAAAAAAGTAGCAACTTTATAAATTTAATTTTTCTGTTGCATTCATAATGTTTTAAACTCCTCCAGCTGGGTATCATTAATAGCTTAGAGTCCATCATATACTACACATCTGAAAACACAGGCCACAAACGGAGTTGGTTCCAGAGCGCCATGGGAGAGGGACCTAGTAGCTGGGAGGTGGGGCCTGCAGATGCACCATGAGGCTTCAGACAAGGGGACAAGGCGGGAGGAACTCACCTAGGACATAGGCTGTCTCTTACCTGTTAAAGCGAGGGTCTGCATAGGCATCTGGAATGTTCAGGACTTCCCCTGTTCTTGCTACTTGACCAGCAATCCCTTTCTCAATTGAAAATCTGCACATATAAAAGAGAGGGATACTAGTCAAAATACAGATGTTGTAGAATAATTTGAAACATTTTTCTACTACCAAATATTGAATAAAAAAGCACTGTGTTACTTGAAATGCTTGCATTAATTGTAAATGTACATGTTCTTAGTTATTTCATTATCATAAAATATGTAAAGATAAACATGAAAAACATTGCAGAGTAATCATTCAAGAGACTTGTATTAAGATACAGTTCACATTGAATTATACTGGGTCACAAACTGAAGTTGAAATTTACCTAGCATTCCATCACACTGACCAATAATAATCTTTTACGTTTGCAAAGTACCTTATAATTTACAAGATGTCTTGATATAGATGGTCATTAATTCTCACTGGTGGGACACACTGCGGCCCATATGTGTCTAGTAGCTTGCCAACATTCCTAAAGTATCAGTGGCACACTACAAACCAGAATGCAGGTCCACACCATTGTATGTTCTACCACACATACAACCAAATTCACAGGCTCTGTCAGATCCTAAGATCCTAAGCCATTATGGAATTTTAAGGCATTTGCAACACAAGTACCATGTAAAGATAACACATTTACAACTTCCAGTATTTTTACTTCTCCAATTTGTTAAAATTGAAAACAGCCAAAATAGAAGCATTATCTGATTACACGCAATTATGTTTTGATATCTAGTATCAACATTTTCTTTTACATATTCTCATATCTATAATCTTCTCATTATATCATTAAACCTACATTCATCTCAAAATTTTAAGATGTCTAAAATCCACAATATCTACATATTTTAATAACTCAAAAATAACTTTCATAATATTACATTTTTCAACATTATATGAAATAATCATTGCTGAAATAGATCTCCAGCCTAAAGATTCTCCCTGAGGAAAATTCAAGAGAATTAACTTTCTTAAAACATCAAAAAGTGAACCCAACATTGCATAAGATGCAAGCTTGTTTTCCTCCTGGCTTTCCTGTGCTTCGAACACCGTGAACACAACAAATCAGACTGCCGGAGCAAAGAGTATCACAACCCATTCCAGGATTTCTGCTTGATTTTCTTGGTCTGAGGGTAATAACTCTGACGGGTATTCCAGCTCTGTGGTTTGCTATCTCTGGTCACTGGAAGCCACAGTTAAGGGACATTCCCTATACGAACTTCTGGCATTAACTAGCCCATTGAAAGGGCCACAGCCAATCCTGCTCCCCTCACTGTTTCTCCCATGCTTATAAACACAGGCTACACATTACTATCTTCAAAACGAGCTTAATACCAGCCCTGTTAGGGAACACTTGAACTTTCAGCAAGAGAAATGACTTTACTAAATGACTATAGCCAGACTGATTTACTGAGATCTAAAAACAAACCAAAATAATTTTTAAATAAAAAGAAAAACCTAAATAGTGCCTGTAAATCAGAGTTCTGTGGGTGCAAACGACAAAATCTACCAGCCAGACCTGTAGAACAGGAAGTGCCCAGTGGTGGGCAGTGGTGAGGCCTGGTGCAGGGCACACACCTGTGTTCTGCACATCTGCTCAGTGCCCTTGTGATAGACAGCCCCAGCCAAAATGAAATAGCAATTCTGAGTTGGTAAGGAGCAGGGTCTTACTGGAATACTGTAGCTCCCCAAGCATTTTGTATGTGAAGAGTTAAACAAGGCACGTGAAGCAAGAGGAATGCAAATGGCTATAGAGTTTTGAAGTTCTGAATGTTAAGCTTGAGTCCTGAACTTTCTGAGGCAGGCCCCTTGCAGGTGTTCAGCTTGTGAACATGGCTGAATCACATGATCATGATTAGCCAGTTTGCCTCCACCAGCCACATTCCATCCTGTTCATGTGGTGAAAACAGCTGCCATTTAAAGAACCAGACTAAGGGCTTAGTTTCCAGATGGAACAAGAAGTGTGCTGATTTAACTGACTGTTAAGTTGTAGGATAATATGCTTAGGTCATTAAATGTTCCAGCCAATTTCCACTGTGGTCTGCACTTTGAGACCACCCCACAGGTTGGGGAGGGGTGGTGGCCGAGTTGCTTAGGTACACCCTGCTCCTAGACATAGAAAAGTCTGCAGACCTCCTGGTGGGATGCACCTTTACCTACCTGGGAGCACTAGTAAGTTTTTCCAACGTGATTTCCAAAAGGACCGCCTCCGGAAGACGGCATTTCCAGGAGTGACGCTAAAGCTTCCTAGGCGTGGTTTCGCTGGCACTGCCAATGCCATTCCCAGAAGTACTACCTTCAGGAGGCGGGTCCTGGTGGGAATGACATCACAGTATGACAAGGACTGTCAGCACACCTGTGAACAGGCACAGAGAGGTGGGCCACAGAGCACCTGCCCTTCTGCAAGCACAGCACACTGACAGTCTCCTTGTGGTGTACCTTATTTCTTTGGTCTTCTTGAAGATAGGTTTTCCTTCCTTTTCCTCTCCAATGTCAAAAAGGTCTGAATACAACTCCTTGTTCTTATGGTCTACCTGGAAAAGTGCACAACGATCGGCATTCACCAGGTTTTTTGCATATATCTAAAGACAAGTAATAAAACAAGAGTAAGCCAATGAGAAATTTAAAGGTAAACTTTATCAGAAATAAATATTAATTCAGCTAGTCTATACTGTAATTGTGTGTGAAATTAACATTATAACTAATATACATATATAAATACAAAAAATAGATGTGTACAATCTTTTGAATGTGCTAACATTCACAGATATGAACATGAACAAATGAAGAGCTGCTATGCACAGGCCTCAGTGCTGGATGTTGAATACTACAACACTCATCTTTAAGCATCTGCCAGATGGGCAGGAGCCTGTTGGGGCTCCACAGAGGTAATGGTGGGCACCATTTTTGCACGCTACCTCTACTTTGAGAGTACTGTGGGTGCACCTGGCCCTGCGCTCTCACAGCCTTGCTAAAGGTGGCCAATGCATGCAGTCTACATAAGGCACACTCCTTGATGGCCTGGCTCTGGTGGCCAGGGGCACTTGTGTTCCTGGGTCCCATGGACTGTAACAATTGGAGAGTTCTTGGCAGACCACCACTCTCAGGGCACTACACACACAGCAAGACTGAAACCCACCCCCAATCTTTCTGGTAAAAGGCCTATTTACTTGTCCTGGAGCTTCATCCTGGGCAGGTTTCAGCTCAGGCACACATCTAGAAGCTACAGAGGTGCTCTTCTTAAGGAATGTATGCTGGCAGACACCATCACTGTGCCCTCCCTTGGCATCACTACCACTCTCTAATATTGTCCAGAAAGGAGCTTGTACACTTGTATGGAGACACATTTTTGCAGCTGTCATCCATGGGACACCTCCAGATTCTCTGGTCCGTAGGCTAGCAAGGTTTACTATGCAAACCCACAGGACTGCATATATTTGCATAGTTTAAAAGCTGTTTCCAGAAGGTCTGGATTCCACTAAGCCTAAAACTAGGTGCTGAATAAGATCTGTCCTTCCGGAACAGGTCTGAGCAGACCCTCAACAACTGAGAACTATCAAGACTAAATCAGGCTGCTCAATCACAAATGTTTGAGAGACAACCAAGAGCTAGAGCAAGGTTAAATGATAAAGTTCATTGTCTACACAGGGCCACTTCTTCAAGACTTGGAAAGGCAGCTGTTTTGCCTACCACACAGAAACAAACAGAGTGAAGTAAAATGTTTCTAATGAAATGGCAACATAAAACCTCAGGAAAGGGCCATAAGGAAATGGATACAAGTAATATACATGACACAGGGTTCAAAGTGATTGTCATAAAGATGATCACTGACGTTGAGAGAAGAATGATGAATGCAGTGAGAAGTGACATTATACTAGATGGTGAAAAGTTGAAAGCTTTTCCTTTAAGATCAGGAACAAGACAAGGATATCTATTCTTGCCACTTTTGTTCAACACAGTATTGGAATTCTAGCCAGAGGAATTAGACAAGAAAAAGAAATAAAAGGCATCCAATATTTAAAGAAAAAAGTAAAACTGTTCCTAGCTGTGGATGATAAGGTTTTATACACACAAAACCTTAAAGACCCCACCAAAAACCTGTAAAAACTAATGAACAAATTCAGTGAAGTTGTAAGGTAAAAAATCAACATGTAAATGTCTCTTGCAATTCTATATACTAACAATGGACTATGAGAAAGAGAAATTAAGAACAATCCCATTCATTACATTTTTTAATAGGAATAAATTTAATCAAGGAGGTGAAAGAACTGTACACTGAAAGTAATGCCACTGATGAATGAAACTGAAGATACAAATAAATGGAAAGCTATTCCATGCTAATGGATAGGAAGAATATTGTTAAAATGTCCATATTGCCCAAAGCAATCTACAGATTTAATGCAATGCCTATCAAATGCCAAAGGCATTTTTCATAGAAACAGCACAAACAATCCTAAAATTTGCATGAAACCACAAAAGAACCTGAATAGCCAATGCAATTTGAAGAAAGAAGAAAAAGGTCTGGAAGTACCACAGTCCCTGATTTCAAGCTATATTACAAAGCTATAACAGTCAAAACAATAATGGTTTAGGCATAAAAATAGACACATAAACCAACAGAATAAAATAGCCCAGAAATAAGCCCACATACATATGTGTCAATTAACTTAACACAAGGAGAAAGGAATATACAACAGGAAAAGGACACTCTCTTCAGTAAATGGTGCTGGGAAAACCAGGCAACCACATGCCAGAGATACTAGATTAGTACCTTACACCATACACAAAAATTAACTCAAAATAGATTAAAGACTTGAATGTAAGTCCTGAAACCATAAAACTCTGAGCCGAAAATACATGTTGTAAGCACCTTGATACAGGTCGAGGCAATATGTTTTTGCATCTGACTCCAAAAGCAAAAGTAAACAACTTTTATTTATTTTACTACTATTATTTATTATTTATTTACTTACTAAATAATTTATTTTTTTCATTTTTACTATTTTGACCTATCCAGTACTATGTTGAACAAAAGTGATAAGAATGGGAATCCTTGTCTTGTTCCTGATGTTAAAGGAAAAGTTTTCAGCTTTTCACATTCTAGTATGATGAAAACTACATTAAAAAGCTTCTGCACAGCTAAGGAAGCCATCAACAAATGAAAAGGCAAACTAATGAATGGGAGAAAATATTTGCAAATCATATATTGATAATGAATTAGTATAAAAAATATAGGAAGCACTCATACAAAAAAAATAACTCAAAAATATCTTTAAAATTATCAAAACACAGACAATCTGATTAAAAAAATGAGCAAAGGAGCTGAATAGACATTTTTCCAAAGAAGACACAGATGGCCAACAGACACATGAAAAGATGCTCAATATCACTAATCATCAGAGAAATGCAAATCAAAACCACAATGAGATCACTTCACACCTGTTAGAATGGCTAGTATCAAAAAGATAGGAAATAACAAGTATTAGTGAGGATGTGGATAAAAAGGAACATTTGTACACTGTTGTTGGGAATGTAAACTGGTGCAGCTATCATGGGAAATAGTATGGAGGTTCCTCAAAAATTAAAAATACAACTACCATAAAATCCACTTCTGGGTATTTATTCTACAAAAATGAAAACAGTAATTTGAAAAGATATACACACTTCCAGGTCCACTGCAGCATTATTGACAACAGTTAAGACATGGAAACAACCTAAGTGAACATTATTCAGCCTTAAAAGAGAATTAATTCTTGGCATTTTTTACCATATGGGTGGACCTTGAGGATATTATGCAAAATGAAATAAGTCAGACAGAGAAGACAAATACTGTATCATCTACCTCATATGTGGAATCTGAAAAAAGCAAATGAATGAAAAACAAAACAAAGCTCATGGACATGGAGAACAGAGTTGCCAGGAGGATGGGGCTGAACTGGACGCAGAGGGTCGGGAGTTATAGACTTCCAGTTATGAAGTGGAAAGGCCACAGGGCTGTGCTGTACAATGTGGTGACTAGTCAGTGGCACTGTGGTGCATATTTGAAAGTTTCTGGGAGAGTAGATCTTGAAAGTTCTTATCAAGAGAAAAAAAATGTAACTTTTTATAGTGCTAGGTAGTGTTTAATTAGACTTATTGCGGTGATCATGTTGCAGTGTATACAAGTGTTGCCATATTACCTTGTATACCGGAAGCTGATATAACGCTTACATCAATTATACCTCAATTTAAAAACACCACACAATCTCTGTTGTTTCAGAGAAAAAAGTTTTCCTATTTGGTGATAGTGTTATAGTGTTACAGGATATGTTGGAAAATCAAGAAAATCAACTGCTGACAATCACAGTAGTAAGAAAGGCTTCTGTTTTAAGATGTGACCCTAAGCATGTTTGCCTGTTCATTCTTTCCAAATACTATGCTTTCACTTTGAAATGACACTTATATGTCAAAAAGAAATTAATAAAGAAATGCTGAAAATATGTCAGTAACACTTATGAACTCCTAGCATCAGAAGGTCATTCTAAAGGCCTCACCCTTCATGCACACATACACAGACATACACACACAGGTTCACTTGTAAGTGAAACACAATTCTTGATAGCAACAGTGGAAGTAAGTGGACATATATCTTCAAATATCTGAGGAAAACTTATTTTTAGGCCTAAAATTCTTTACCAAGTCAAACTAGCATTCAGTCATAAGGCAAAATAAAGACACATCAGAATTACATAGTACTCAGAAAATTACTACCTTTGAACTACTTTGGAAAGGGAGATAAAATCAAGCAAAAATAAAATAGATAAATTCAAGAAAGTGTGTGAGACCTGGGATACAAGAAAAGAGTATAGAGCAAAGAAACCACCAAGACTATAACAAAACTAAAACTTGTTCAAAATCATATCTAAGAAATTACAGATGTAATATAACAAGTTTATTAAAACAGATCTAAAATATCTGACTGTATCAAGAAAACATGTAAGGCATAAAGGTAAAAAAGAAGGCATGGAAGTAAGCTATTTGTTTATCTTGCTATTAAATGGGTGATAACAGACACTGTTATTCACTAATTAAGCCTGGAGCTGGCAAGACCAGCTCTGCCATATTGAGGGAAGGGAGCACCTGCTGACAAGGATCACAAACAGACGAGATGAGCAGACAGAGACGACATAGTCCCAAAGATACAGGGAGCCCGCAGGTCCAGTCATTACAGAGGTCTGAATACTCAAGGGTTTTACAGTGATATGAGTCAAGTCCCCTTTTATTCTCTCCAGCTAATCTGAGTAGGTAGTTGATGTTTTCTGGCTTACACCAGAGTCCTGATTAACAAACAAGCTCAAGGCGGGTCTGATGAGAGACAAGACAGAGAGAGAAATCTTCACTAATTGCATTACAGATGAGAAAAGGAATATAAGTACAGATCAGAAGAATATTTAAAATACCTACAAATTTACAAAGTTCATTTGGAAGTCTCATTCACTGATTCTCAACAAGCAGCTGAGCCACCTCATCACAGAGCATCTGAAAACAAATATAGGCATCTCTGTTTGCTACAAGGACAGGGTGGTGATAGCGCTCTTGGCATTCAGGGCTCAGAGGTTAAAGATGCTAAACATCTGCAATGCTCAAGTTGATCCTGTGGAAGGACAAATAGTTCTGCCCAAAGTGTCAGTATCACCCCCACTATGAAACACCGAACTAAGTGAAATGATCATCTAGGGATTTAAAGATTACCCAAATTTGCTCATCTGGAAATAAGAAATCTCATTCATATCCTCAAAAAGCCTTTACAAGAAACATGACCTCATCCTCCCTTGTCTCCTCTAAACTAGGATTAGCTTTTCAAAACAAAGTCAGGTCTTCTACCCTTTAGCTTAAAAGCCAAAACTCCCTAATGAGGCCTGGATGACTTGGAACTTCCCAAGGCATTTCTACCAGGGCATTCTGTTCCTTCTTCCTCTGAAGTACACCCATCTCTCCTCTTTGCCTGCTTCCATTCATCCCTCAGGTCTGGGGTCATGTCCTCAGGAAACCTTTGCATGGCCTCCCTATGTCAAATCTCATTATGAGCCTTTCAGTGCACTGTGTTCTGTTCCTTCATAGACCTTAGCATGACTGCAAGCTCATGTTTATGATATTTGATTAATGTCTCTCCCCTACTAAGACCATTAAGTTTCATTAGGAGAGCCCATGAAAGTTTTTGCTCACCATTTTAGAATGCTAGCTGCTGTCCAATAGGGAATATAACAAATATCCAACTATATTACAGCAAAAATGGATGCTTGTTATTTCCTTTACAATTGTCCTGGTTAGAACCACCAGTACAATCCTGAATAGAGGTGGTTAGTGTCTTGCTCTTGATCACAGAGGAGAAGCATCCAGTCTTTCAGCATTAAGCACAATGTTCATTATGGGTTTTTTGTAGGTGGCCTTTATCAGGTTGAGGAAGTTCCTTTCTAGTCCTAGTTTTTTGGGTGTTTTAAATTATAATTGGATGTTGGGTTTTGTCAACATTCATTTTATCTGCATTTATTGTGATGAACATCTGGCTTTTATTTTTACTTACTCCACTGTATTATATAAAGGGATTTTCAGATGATAAACTAACCTTGCATTCCTGTGGTAACTCCCACTTCATCATGGTGAATGATTTATATTGAATTTCCTTAAACTTAAGAAAAACTTAAGTAGAGTTGATATTGTCAACATATGGAGTCTTCTCATACAAAAAATTGTCTTATTTCCAATTTAAAAAAATCTCTCAATCGCATGTATTGACCATGCTTTTGTTAAGTTTTTTTTTCAATTTATAGTCTTGGATTTTCAAGACAATCATTTACAATGCATATAATGATAGCAATAGTTCTACTTTTCTAGGGTTCACATTAATTTTTTTAAATGTATTTGCTAGGACTTAAGGAACATTGTTGAATGGGAGCAGTGAGAATGGATATATTTTCCTTAGTGTGTGTGCTTCACTCATTTATTGCAATGTGTACTTGTTATAGGTCACCAACAGATAACTTAATCAACTTAAGTACTTTTCCTTCTATTCCTAATTTGCCTAGAGTTTACACCTGACTGGATGTGGAGTACTAGAACATTTTTGTAATCCACTATTAAATGACGTAATTTTTCTAACTGATTACAACTGACATGATTCTGCATTTAGAAAACCCTAAAGAACCCATTCAGAAAGTACTGGAAATAATGAGGTCATCAGTGTTGCAGGATACAAGATCAAAGTACAAAAACCTATTTTATTTCTATACATTTTCATTGAAAAGTGTGAAAATAAAATTAAGAAACAATTACATTTATTATATCATTAAAAATAAAATAGGAATAACTTTACCAAAGTAAGAGCAATACTTACACTCTGAAAATTACAAAACATTGTGTTTTAAAAAATTCAGGCAACTTAATAAATGGAAACACACCCCATATTCATGTATTGTAAGAATTAATACTAATAAGATGGCATATATATTAGTGCATATTTTATCTTTATATTCTTAACACTCTTCACTGTTCTATAATTTCCTTAGATTTTTCTCATAACCAAAGAAGTTATTTTTCACATGCAATCAAATGTTCTTTTTGTCCACCTCGAACCATCAACATGACTCCTTACATAAAGAACTGCTGAAAGTAACAACCCCTGAAGTCACTCTCTAAGCATCCTTGTAAATGTGCTGTCTGCACAAGACACTGAGCGTGCAACACTCCACTGTCCTGCCACGGCACCAAAGAGAAGCAGATCAGCGCGTGTCATAAATCCTGGAGATAAGGAAATCCCTGCTGCACAGGATCACTGTATTTTGAGAAAGACCAGGAAAATGGAGAATGAACATTTATCAAAGCGTACAACAGGGCACGGGTGGCACCACGGGACACGTACATTCCCAGCGTGTCACTTTAATGGAGTCTCACTGGAGCACTGAGACCGTAGGACTGGGAAACAGGAGCAAATCCTGCTTCCTGTGACTTCCACCTCCAAGTACCTGTCAGCCTTCTGGAAGGCAGGAATGATAAGACGAAGACTAAACAGCATGAGCCTCAAGACCAGGGAGTCAGCTGGGAAGTCCTAACATATCCTATGTGCAAAAGATATTTTGGGTAACATAAAAAGAAATTAAATGTTTTTTAAGTGTAGTTCACCACTAAATAATGACAATCTCTGAAGTATTTTTCCAAATGTTTTTTAAAACCCATTCAAAATTAACAGAAGTAACAAATAAATCAAGGTGACACCTCCAGATCACTAAGCACCATCTTTTATCATCTTTAAAACAGCTTTTATCTCTAATATATTAAAGACGTTTGTCACACATTAGGACATGAAACGAAGCATCAAATGAAATCTTTTTCAAAAGAAAAGATAACCTACCATTATGTGTTCAAGTAGAGAATCTATTGCGACTATGTTATCAAAATACGTTCTGAAAAAAAGGAAATAAAACCTGTAAATAATCTTCCTTAAAACACAAAACATGTTAAACTTCAGATATATTTCCCAGTTTTGTCTACATTTATATAAAAAAACATAAATATATATGTTACTTGATTTTTGTGCTTTTGTGGAAACAACCACAAGTTGGGTTTGTGTACATTTAGCAATGTTCTCAGCATTAAGGTAACTTCTAGTAATAAACAATGTCTTTCATGTAAAAGACAAATTGTGTAGCTTGAAGCCACTAAGACATAGAATATGTTTAATTACCTGGTACACTGAGGAATATACTGTGAAGAAGATGGTAAAGTAAATGGATATCCATCCCCCAGGGAACAGATTCAGTGTCGTATGTGGGATTTAACTGGACACTGAAAGATCTGCAAGACATTCAAATACATCGGCGAGAGGAGGCGCATAGCGTCCCCCTGTGCTCTGAAGTGGTAGTATCAGGCATCTGGGAGGTGGTAGTGAATTCTAAGAAACAGCTGACTGAGGGGATGAAAAGAGAGCTCCCATACATCCCTAATTTTATACTTCAAAAAATAAGCACGACACAAAGCAGCAACTTCAGACTAATTAGTGATGGGAGTACAATACTCCTTGAGGAGCAAGTTAAGTGCCACCGAAGTGACAGGAGCAATCATGGTCAGTTGCTGCTAGTGGCCAGGGGAGAACAGGTACATTCTTCTTTCAGTTAACTTGTCAGAGGACATGACCCTCAGGTTACCACATCCTGTAACATTTTTTTAGACTTCAACAATTAAGTAGCTGGGACAGATATTCCCTGTAGCAGAAAAACTGTATGAACCTACAGTTTAATAAATATCTTCTAACTGCTTCCACTGCCAGCCTAAAGGAGTTTTTCTAGGTCAAACTTCAGGAAAATGAACATTTTCTCCAAAATGATATCTGAACTACTATACATGGGAAAACTAAAATAATATCAATAACATGGTTTTAATTTACTGATAATTGTAGAAAATGCGAGAAAGGGCTTTTTTTGGAAAATAATAAACTAGAACATTTCCTCTTCTATTGCTCATTTTCTCCTACAAAAATAGAAACACTCTAGTGTCTTTAACATGTTTTAGTGAGTTTATTTAGAAAATATATACTGAATTGCAAACTGAGCTCATCACATATATGTCTGCCATCCTTCGCTTGCAGATGGACATGGATGAGAATGCAAGTCTCCAGCCTGAGTCTGAGCCGCCATCCTCACCAGACTGGCACAGTGAGGGCTGGTCTTCCCAGGGCTGGCAGCGCCGCACCCAGTGGGCTCTCACCTCCATAGCCTGCACTTAATTCAGACCATCGATCTAGAGGAGCTACCACATCTCTAGGAATGGACACTTACTTTGATACGTCGAGTAGAAAGTCATTCAGTTCAGTCTGTTTGGCAAGGCCTCTGCATACCTGCCATGTAAAATAATGGCTGCTCAATATAAGCAATTTCTGCTTATTTAAAAATAAAAATTTCAGGAAATTATTTACCTTATCTTATTGTAGAAGTTATAACATTATCACTTTGTGAATAAAGTCAAAATAGTATCATCAACAATTCATATTTATTGAATGCTTATATGGGCCAGGCACCACTCCAAGTAGTTTATATTTATTATCTCATTTAATCACCACAAAACACTATAGGTTTGGAAGTTACTTTTATAATTAAGGCATAAAAAAGTTTAGAACCTTAATGAGGTTCAGAGTTACTAAGTGATGAAGCCAGCATTCAGATCTGGGCACCTCAAAGGTGCTCTTTAAACGTACTTTATCCTTTAAAAAATGTACTTGGGCCATTATTCCATCCATACTTGGTACTATCAGATCCAGTAAATGCTTGATCCTCATAACTATGTATTTTTTCACACAGTTATGTATCCTGTAACTATGTATTCTTTGCTCTTCATATCATACAGTCTTCCACCAACCAAAGTTTGCTGAAATGGACTTAAAAAAATGAAATGACAACAAAAAGAAGTGGAAGACAAAAAGCAGAATAGTCTTGCTGCCATGTTCCTGAACTTTAAAGTCTAGTTACTAGAAAACTCTGTGCAGTTTGTGATCTTTTAAATTAGATTATATTTTCAAGAGAACCAGGTGTCTTAAAATTTAAGATGAATGTTTTCACATGCCATTTAGTGTAGAGAACGGTTTAACTTAAGAAATGGGCCATAAAAATACCAGCATTGTGGCCAGCAGGAAACTGTTCCTGGGCTTTCGGGGGAAAAGAAAACCATAGGGCCTGCGTGCTGCTTACCGCATCAACGGCTACGAAAAGGCAAGGAGTTGGTAAACAAGTGAACAGATCAAAAATTTTAGAACTAACAAGAGACCTAATATTCAAAACCAAAGCCTTAGGTTCCTTGTGAAGCTCCACCCCACTCCCAGTGCTGCACTTAAAACACTCCGGCAGCCCCTTGCCACGCCCGAGACACACCTGCACCTGATGTATGGCTACCGAGGCCCAGGCAAGATTGGCGGTTGCGACCTGAAACAAAGTACGAAACACATTCTTCTCAGCCCCAGGCAGACATCCCAACCACAGCACTTAAGCATAAATGTATACAAAGAATTTTCTGAGGTCTCTGAGCTTTTGAATATGTTGCCAAATACTAAGTGTCAAATATGCACAAGATTTCTCTTACATTTCTGCATCTTTAGAATTGGATTTAATGCCCTTAAATTTGGATAAAAACAAAATAGACTGATTACAGGAGCTATTGGCCAATGATTTTAACATAAAATAATTATTATTTTTCATTTTAACAAATTACTATTGAGAAAGCCTATAATGACCACTTTAGGATGACGTAATATTTCTAAAACTTTGCTGACAAGTCCTCCAATTACAGCTGTTCTACTTTTATTATTCACCTAACAAACATTTCCTGGGTGCCTGGAAGCACCAAAAACAGTTCTAGATGCTGCCAACCTAGCAGCGCCCACAGCAGGATGGCCGGAGGGCGCAGTGCACAGGAGACCAGGACCAGAAAGAAAACAGGTGTTGTGCACAGTGTATTAACTGGAGACAGGGGCTACAGAGAAAATGCATCACAGAGGGAAAGAGAACATGGGCCTGGAGCCACCCAAGCCTATGTGCCATGTTCAGGGAAACATCTGGGGACAGTCCTGAAGAAGGTGGCTGGGGGAAGGATGACAAGGACACGGGCAGTCCAAGAGGGGGAGAAGAGATGCCTAGGCTCTGCAGTGGAGGTGTCGGCCCCGCTCAAGGAGTCTGCTGCTGCAGGGAATGAGGGAGAGCAGGAGACAGGTCATCCGGGTGAGAGGACAGGACACCCCCCGGAGAGGACCTAGCTGAGACAGGCAGGTCACTGTAGTATGTATAGTACACTTAATGAGCCAATTCTGATTCTGGGAAGAGTGAGTGTCACTCATTGTTCTCTAAATGTGTCTGATGCCGGAACCTTTATTCAGCATACACTCTGAGGAGGACAATTTTAAGAACATAAAGACAAATAGAAGGTGAAAATTCCAAAGTCATCTTACTACTTTATTTGACTCATAATATGGCAAACTTTTATTGTTATTGTTAAAATGGATTTCTACTGAAATAAATTACTTTTTCTATTTTAATCAATTTCCTCTCCAAATAACTGCAAAACAAAAATAGACATTTTTAAGAAATATCAGTATTAGTATCAAAACACTGTTAAGCAAATTGTGGCTTTAAATACAATTTATTCACTGAACAATATCAGTGGGCACCTCCAATGTGCCAGGCACAACTGAAAACCCTAACAAGCAGTGTGCGGGCCTCACCCACCTCTTGATGACTCAGACTGAAGGCTTCTTTGCCCCAGTGCCGATACAGCTCCAGGATGCCAATCAAATCACCGATTGCGGTGACAATTGGCAAACAAAGAACAGACTGGATGCGGGTCCCTGATTCCAGTCCAGTGCCTCTTGGAAATCGCTCATCCTGAAAAATCAAGGGGGAAAGACAAGAATTCAGTGCAAGTCATGGACTCACTAAGCTATGATTTTTATTTCCATCAGAAATTCCCTAATGCTTGTAATAAAGAATAAACAGATCTTTACAAAGGAAAACCAAATGATGCCACTATAAACCATATTTAAGAAAATGTTTATGTTTACCATAATGGAACCTATACCTAAACACTGTTCTAATGATTTTTTAACTTTGTATAGTAGAACTTAATTAACATACATTAATTACATGCCATAATAAAAGTAATTATGAGCGCTAACATTTCTTTATGCATCACCTTCTATGTGCCAGAATTCTTCCACAGGCTTTACAAGGTGTAAGTCACAAGTGAAAAATACTCCAAATGCAAGCACCATATGAAGCAAATTATATATAAAAATATTGTTCTATTTTTAAAGTTAGAATAAGCATAAAGTGTATGTTCATGATTAACATGAACCTTAATTAAACCTTAATTAAACCTCAAAGGCCCATAGAAAGTTTACAAATCATCCAATAATTATTAACTACTTATTATAACAAACGAAATTGGTTCTTAAAAATTCCTAGCTTGTAAATCACTCAAACACACAGAAATCAAATGAATTAATAATATCAAAACAATTCTATTTATTCAATTTTTGCTCTCTGTAAGAAGCTTTTCATTAATCAAAAATAGTACAAATCTATATTGTAATTTATGAATCTTTTGAAAGTTTGCATACTCAATAGAACATTTTCAAATGACAACTTCTATAGTATCTACTTTTAACACTTACTTTTTTATATTGAATATATTTGACATATAACATTGTATAAGGTGTATAGTATGTTGATATGACACATTTACACACTGCAATATGATGGCCACTGTAGTGCTATTTAGAATCTCCATTATGTCATATAATTATCTTTCCTTTTTGGTGATGGAAATAATTAAAATCTAGTCTCTTAACAAGTTTAATGATTAATTGCCAATTTTCAGTATGCCACAGAACATTTCCTTTTAACCACTTTTCTTTTGTTTTTTTGATAAAATAACTAGTTGCCTGATTTGTTCAAGATCATACAGATAATTAGTGGCAAAACCAAAATTAAAACCAGCTCTCATGACTCCCATGTAGCACTTTTTCAGAGCGGATGCAGTACACATATACACTTGTCGGCCTACCTGTCACTCTCAGTCTTAGATCCAGTAGTGACATTTCATCACCATGCTCACAAGTACTATGGGAAATTGCAGTAAGGGCTCCCTTTTGTCACAATTCCCTATATCTCTGTCCTTTGTCACCTTTGTCACACAGAGTCTGGGCCTGCCCATGTGATTTGCTTTGGCTTTTATGAGGGTAGTAAATTTAATGCAAGCAGAAGCTTAAAAACCACCTGTATGTTTCCACTTTTCTTGGACCACTGTAACCACCATAAGGACATGGCAGGTAGCCTTTCCAGGAACTGGGGGGTGAGACACACATGCAGAACCGAGGCCATCTGAGACTAGCCAGCTCCTGAGTGACGGCCTGTTGATAACAGGTGCATAAGCCCAACCAAAGACAGCCTACATCAGAATGGCCCAATCCATGGACTCACAGGAAATAACAAGTGGTTGTTGTGTAACACCACTAAAATTTTGGGTACTGTGTCACACAGCAATGGCTGACTCATTCATACCTATCCAACTAGGATATGAAATACAAAACAGTAATCCTTTAGTTTCATGAATATAAACATAAATTTTTATGCTTAACTCTACTGGCCTGTGTTGGAATAACTATCAAATCTAGCTCTTAGTGGATATATAAAATATGACTTTCTGAGCACAAAAATTCATTTACTGATCTGTATCTTGCTTTAATGCTTTCCTAAAATGGCTTAAATCATAATATCAAGAGGATATACAATCTTTCTTAAACAAATACTTCAGGTTAAAATGCCCCAAAGAGTACAAAGTCGTTTACCCCAAGGATGTCTTCTACTAGTAACGTTTTTCGGGACTTGGCCACGTAAGCAGAGACGGTGGTACCCTGGGCGATGGGCCCAGCAGGGACGAGCCGGGGCTTTCCTTCCTTGATTCCCGGTGGGGTGAACACACAAAGACTCTAGCCAAAAGGAAAGAACATGTTTATAAACTTCCCAGTACATTGGCACAATACAGAAAGACTCCGAGATCCTTCCTAATAGCCACAAGAAATCTGTGAGCAAGGGTAAAGAAGACAAAATGAGGAAAAGTGAGATGATCAAACTGGAACATCAAGGTGAAATCCTGTTATTTTCAATATGCATAAAATACAGGCTAGATACAGGACACGAGGATCTAGCCATAGAAAACCTCTTAAAATAGCCTATTGTGATACATAGAAAATAATAAAATGAAAAAAAAAGTCAGCTGCCCTTGGGCTCAAGATAGTCTCATGCAAGAAAAAGATACACGTGAGCCCCACCTCCCCTACAGACTCGGCACATGGATCTGAAGACGGGATCAGAAGCTGTAAGCCAAAGTGAGTTTGCTCTATTTTTTCATTCTCATTAAAAATATTTCTTTAAAAATATTCCTTAGAATTTTCTTTTTCTAAGACTCAAATACTCCATTCCTTAAATTGGTCAGCCTATAAAATCGTAGATTCAGAACACTCTTGATAAAAACTTCACTTTTTCCACACAAAAAATTTTGGACCTATCTGTGTATATCTTTCTCTTTCAAATGAGTTGGTGGGAGGACAAAGTTCTGAAACTATTTAAAAATAAATGTTTTAAAATATGACTTTTACTAAATCATATATATATTAAGTTTCTACAAATTAAGAATTGCTTGCCAAAAAGGAAAGTCACCTAAGGATGGAACATTACTGTGACACAGCTGGATCATGATTACCTATGCAATCTGAAGATACTAAGGTTCAGGCAAAGTCTCTCAACCCTTTATTTTTATCTTAAATTGAATTGCTGTGGCTTAAAATTGAGACCTTTTGAGGCAATAAGTATTAGACAATCCTCTTAAGCTAAACATGTTCCTATTAATACTTGTTATTACTGAGTTAGTCCTATGGGAAGACACTAGACTGGATTTATTTATTAGCTTAGTAGGTGGTTTCCAAGCTTTGCAGTGTCAGAGAACTCTTTCTTCAAATAAAATACTACTTATAAGCACAAGAGAGTGAACCCTGTAAGTCTGAACTCCCTCACCAAAAGGGAGAAGAAGGAAAGCAAAGTGCTGGTGCAGCCCTGGTGGCCTTAAACAGATCATCATGATCTAAAGAATAAATGCCAAGTTCAAAATAGTATTCTTCCCAAGTATATCTGTACCAGTAAGGACTGTGTTTAAGTAGTACTTGCTATTAGGTACATGCCTGTGAAAAATATATTTTAAGTGTTTTTTTTTCAAGGATTAAGTTTAAAATAATCGATTACAAGTAGGCACTCAAAGATTTTTTGAAGTGTAACAACATATAAGATGATAAGTAACAATTTTACTTTATTTTTAAAGAGGATAGAAATCAGTGTCACTATTTCTGAACTAATTCTGATTCCATTATGCACCAATATACATATGGCATAAATGAAGTCAGACTTTCGTTAGATTCAGTATCTATCATTGTCAGTGTGCCATCCTTTCTTAAGATTGAGAGAATAGAAAAATGATTCAAGAATAGGAAGAAGGTTGCAAGAAAAAATCTAAAGGATATGGTATATTTAGCCTGAAGAAAAATCAGAACTGACAATGATTTTCTTAAACTATGAGAAAGTTAAAAATAAGAAGGATGCTGAGTAACATTCCTTTTCTTTACCAGAGACAGGATGGCAGGAAATGAACTTAAGTTGAACTGAGTGGTTTAGGTAACTCTTGAGGAACTTCCTGTGACAGTAATAGAAGACAAACCCTTGAGCAAGCTCCCAGCAATAATTTTGGCTTTTTTTTTTGAATAGTTGTTGGCTTTATTTGTTTGCTGTTTGAAGATACACAATAGACAACCCTTTTGGATGACTTTGCCATCCGCCCTTTGAGGCTGGATTTAATAATATCTTCAAGTTATGCTTAGCTTCATAATTCAGTAATGATAGAATAGCTTCTACATTCCTAGATTATTGGAAGATTATTTAATTTCATGAAACATTTATTGCCCCTATTTAGAGTTTTTATATGATGCACAAGAAACAGATAAGCAAATACAGCACCTAAGGAATATGGAAGGCTACCCTGTATAGCAGGCTTCCTGAAGATACAAGGTTTAGCAATCTTTCAATTGATCGGATCTGGAAAACTTGTGGATAATAATTACCAACAAATTAAACAATTCTTTACACTAGGAAGATTGTGCTTGTCTTATTAATTAGCTCATGATTTTTATTCATATTTATAAATAGAAATGTTTCCAAAAAAACCAAGGACAAGTGCTAACAAAATACTGAGAAAGTTGTCCCATGAAAGCCAAAAGTTCAGGCAGGAAGGGAAATGAAGACAAGGTGCGCAGATACTTGTTTCTGATGTGTTTTCACTTTCTCTCCTTTGTATGCTCACTGTTTTGTTTTTATCTTACTCCATACAATTCACCTGTGCAAAAGCTCCCTCTGAAACATCTATTTCTGATTACAGACCAATGCCTGGTTGAACTGTGTGTTCTTAACGGCATGGTCTGTACGATCTGTGTAGCTGAACAGGTTAATCGCCAGCTGTTACTGCAAACAATCAGTAACAAACCTTAAACTGTAAGCCAAACTGCACGTGTTCAGGGATATAGAAAAGTTCATTAGATTTGCCTTAATTTATTCACAGAAACCATCAAATGGACAGCTGAGTATTGAACAGTCTTTTCCCACTAGATGCACTGTCCCTTTCATCATACAGTAAATCCCCAAGTATACTAGAGTCTGTTTCTGAACTCTCAATTCTGTGCCATTTGGTTTGTCTGCCACACTGTTGTTAATAAGTTTATAGTATATTTTGTGATTTGGCAAGGCAAGTCTTGTTTTGGGTTAACAATGTTCCAAAATAACCATAATGTATTGCATAAGATACATTTTGCCTTTCTCATTGGTAAAGGGCCCTGAATTAATGCATTAACAAAAGATGGGTGTAAGTAAGCTCTAGGGAAATTTACAAAGGGAATAGGGATCTTCAAAATCAAGCCTTATGATTTTTGGCATAAGGACTGGAGAAATATACTTGGTAGAAAATGAATAGAACAGACTATCACAATTTATTTTAAAAAATAGGATATTTTAATGAAATGGGAAAATCTAGTTTATTGACATTAAATAGATAAGTGTACTTTACTTGGTAACAAACTTGTTCCTATCTTTCTTACCACATACAATTAAAGGATTACATTATTCATTAAATTCCATTTTTATGTTAAGGCTTCAATTCACAACCAGTGAATTTTTATCAATACGTTTTAAGAAGCAAAAAAATATATTTAAGCTTTCCATTAAGTTATTTTTCTTACAAGACACTAGATGGCACTGGAGAGCAAATGAATTCAGAGCTCTGCAGCTGGGCGGACGCAACTAGTCTCACATTCACCTGGAACTTGAACCAGGTAACTTTGCATAATTCTTAAAAACAAAAAGACAAAAGGTCATTGTGCAATTTAAGTAAGTCACACACTTGCTCTGACCTACTGGCTCTAAACTGGTTTCTAAAACCAATATATGACAAGCTATGAACTCCAGTGTGACCAAAGAAATGACAGTAGAATGTTCTTGGAGTGAAAGGGTCATACCCAACTTTATTTCCACAGTGGCAGGTCAATAACTAGAATCCCATTCACTCAGAGCAAGTCTGCATGCAGCAAGCCCTTCTCTGCCCCTGGGCCTCTCTGTCCACATTGCCATCTTCTGCTCTGCTCTCCTGCAGCGTTGCAGCCCTGTCACCATGATGCCCAGAGCACTGGACAGAGCTCTTTATATAGCCAACAACAACGTATTGCCCACATTTGTGTGGTAAGCTTGTCAATGAGGGCCAGGTGAGAATCCTGGCCACAGGAACCCTCATTTTATCCACAAAGGGCTATACTCAACTTTATTCCCATGGTGGCAGGTTAATCACTAGAGTTGTGTCCACTCAGAGAAAATCTGTATGCAGCAAGCCAGTCTCTTTCTCTGGGCCTCTCTGGCCTCTGCAGCTGTCTCAGTCTCTGTCCTTGGCGCTGCTGCCACTCCAGTCCCTGCTTTCCTGCAGCCCTTCAGCTGTCGGGCCGTGCCAGCATATTGCCCAGAGCACTGGGCAGAGCTCTTTATATAGAATCAATAGCAATGTATTGCCCACAGTGTGTAGTGAGCAAGCCGACCAGGGCCAGGTAAGAATCCTGGCCATCAGAACCTCCACTTTATCCACAGAATTAAAAACTTCTTTAAGTACAGTTTTTCAAAGGAAAACCTATAGTTAAAACATTTAAAGTATGTTACATGTCAGTTGAGGAATGTGACTGAGTATGAAAGAGAGAAACTGTTAAAAACACTGAAAGTTGAACTAAGTAAAATCTTAATCATGGAAAAATTAGTTTTATCCAACAAATATTTCAAGAGTGCCTTATATTTGTTATGTGTCAGACACTGGTGTGGGTCAGGACATAAATATAACCCTCTGCCTTCCCTAGCTCTAGACTTCACACAGATTGTTTTTTCTGCCCAAAAAGTCCTTTACTGTCCTGCAGCGTTCTAAATGAGAGTTCTTCCAAGCTTTTTAACGTGCCCCTGCGCCTCTTCAAAGTCAGTATCCCCAACACCCAGTTCCCCTCTGATGGCAGTTAAGACCACCTGCTATAATTAATTGTGGATTCATTTATTTCCCCTAATGGTTGTATATCCTTTGGTAACAGGAATGATTCTGTATTGATCTGGCTATGCTCAGCAATTTAGCACAGATTTGGGTACATAGCAGGTGTTTTAAATGATGTGCTGAGTGAGTAACATGCTTAACATTTAACAACTGAAGGTTAAATTAAGGTTTAAAAAGTTCAAGAATCCCGTCAAAATCACAAAGTGGTGAAACGGAACTCACCCAATCCAACTCCAGAATCAGAATTCTCTCAAAAGCTGAACTACTGACTGGAAGCTTTCCTTCCGTTTCCATGGTCTGAAAGTGTCGGCAGCACATGCC